ACTGATTTGTGATACCTCATTCTACAGTGGCTTCTTCGTTTCTGGTTACACAAATTGTTACAAGGATTGTGATCTCTGGCGTGGCGATTATGTCTCCCCATACTTCCGTACTGCATCTACCAGTTCGGGTTACTCTGGTGTGGCCTTTAACACCAATGGCGCCCGAGCACTCGATAAAAGGCTCATCAGTGTCGGTCTGCGCTGAGACATTTACGGATTGAGCTGCATAATTCCCTTCTTATGTGTGTCATATTTAAACATGAGCATAACATACTACTCGTATCTAAGCTTGTCCCGATTGTGCACAGCAACTTCTGAGCAACTTTTTGTGTTTGGGGCAACTTTTTGTGGTACTAATAACCTCGAGCAATTTTTGCCTTATTGGGCAATTTTTGAGCAAATTATAGCTTTAGAGCACATTTCAAGCACAAAAAAGTCAACAATATCTTAGAAAACTTTAATCTATGCAAATTTCTGAATGTTTATCAACACCTTACAACTTTTCGCATGCGTGTTGCGATTCTTATCTGATATTGTAAGATGGCAAGGTGACAACTTTTTGTATAAATTTGCAATTTTTTGGAAGCTTTTTTGGTATTTCAAGGAGCAACTTTCCAGAATTCTACGCATACAATCAGTATAGGCCTTGTATCTCTAGAGAGCCCCGCCCCATCAAAGACCAATTTCAAGTAATGACAATGATAATAACAATTATAATGATAATAAGATACATATTTTAAGAGGAGACCTCCATCACCCTAAATGGTTTTTAGGGGTGTATACTACGCCGAGTACATCTTAGGTAGGTATGTTTCTGTCGTCTTTTCCACTTTTATCTAATTTCTATCACGTAGTGAACCAATCCTATAGAGTAACGCTGGATTCTGCGTATTTTGTCAATATATGAATATGTTGGTCTGCGAAATGTTCAGAGAGTGAGGCATGTAGCATAACATTTATCCTTTAATCAATTTAAGCATGTTCAGAAATGGCTTCTCCACGTTGGTCGGGCTTGTAATGTCAGCCAAACTTTAGGTTATCCTACGTTTAGGATGCATTAGTTTGTGAATAAAAGGTCATGATGTCCATGATAAAAGGCGCATCAGTGCTGGCTCACGATAAAAGACAGCTTTAGCTTTAAACTTGAAACTGCATAGTAATTGTATCTTTAAGCTTAATGCAACTAAGGATGTATATATTACTGACACACTCCAAGATTAGCCCATCCTACACCTATACGCAGATTGTATAAATGTAGTGAAGTCTGAGTGGCAATACAATAGAGTGAGAAGTAGTTGTAGTAGTTGAAGCAATTTACCTGCTGATTTCGTAGAATCTGTGTCACAATACAGTAGAGGAAGATGTAGTAGTAGTAGTTGAAGCAATTTACATGCTGATTTCGTAGAATCTGTGTCACTATAAAGTAAAGGAAGTATTCGTAGTAGTAGTTGTAGAGGCAATCTACGTGTAACATCCCTCTGTCATTAACCAACCAAGGTAACAAGAAAAGACAGAGGGCTTCATCTTAATATGACACCACACTCTCTTGAGAGAATATTTCAAAAGTGTTAATGTAAAGAGCAATTTCGGTATTGTTGTAATTTTATAAATGCAACGTTTTGTAGGTAGTTGTAAATATATAATCCATTGGTAAAAAAGGTAAGCACGTGGAATGATTATGAACAACAAGATTTGATCAGAAAGAAAGTTTTTATTTTTCTCTCATTTTTTTTTTCTGATACGATGTACGCCTGTATCCATGGCAGGGAGCTAGCGCTTTTAGTCGAAATTTGAAAACAGTTCTTGAATTCTTGTTAACAATCAGAGAAGCGTCGACTGTGCTCTGTTCTGTTATAAAGCACGCAGGAAGCGGCTAGAGCACGAAAGAAGTGAAGCGAGAAACACGAGACGTAAAACTCGGCTGTAATGACTGATGTGGCATTCCACTAAATGCATCGGAAAGGCTATCAGAGCAAGCTATTATTTTTTCACTCGAAGGGCGGCCGATGTAGTTTTTGAGCCTTGCTTCACTGCCGCGATGGACCTCACTGATGATCGCAGTCGCTCTGACGCTGTCATGATTACCATGAATTTTAACAGTTAGGCCAGTTTGGTTATTTTCTCATCATTCCTGTTTTGTTCCGCTTTGTTTTTGAACATAAAACTCTATATACTATAAAAGTATAAGCTGTGTTTGATTTTTATTACCATACGTAAGTTTGCAGTCTAGCTGAGAGTGAAAACCTTTCTAACTCGGACTGTCCATTTTGTTTTCTCTTTGAAGATTTTCGTCTGTGCTCTCGTTTTAATAACGTAAATTACGGCGCCTGGCATGTTTACAAACCTTGGTTTGGTTCTCCTGTTGCTACTTGCCAGCCCGCTTGTTCCGAAATTTCCCCTAGTGTCTTACAGCAACTTCAAACCTGAAGCGTTTTCTTATTTACAAATTACAAGAATTGGTTCGGAGCTTATCCAAGATGGCAGCGAGTGTGTATTTTCCTGTTTGGAAATCACTTCGTGTTTTTCGTATAACCTGGCTGCATTTCCTGATAAGTGGGGGAAATTTTTGTGTGAACTGCTTCCGTCCGATAAGCATGAGGAATCCGATGAACAATCCCATATTCCATCATTTCAGTAAAAATGTAAGTGCAATCTTGTTTCAGTTTAAGCTATACGTCCCCTCCCCATTTAAGTAAATCAATTGGGGCTGCTGCTAATAGGAAAGTGCATGATTGAAAGTAACATTTGACAGCTGTGAATTCGTATGATAACTTAACTCAAGAGAATATAAACTGTAATTCTCTTGCCTCAGTGACACAGACGTCTTTATAGTAATGATGGTCCCTTTGTTAGAAAGAAAATTTGGCTTGTCAATCTTGAATATCTCGATTTTGTTAAAAACGAAGAAGAATCCGACACGCCGAGCGTAGAAGGGGGAGGGGAGTTAGGTCAGTTTGCTTTGACGTTTTTTTTCTCTGTTTCGTACTCTTTTAAGCTAAGCAGAAGACTGACTGAAATTTATTTTCTACAAAAAATTTTTAGTGCTTTTGCTATTGATTCACGTAACTCGCGATTCCGTTAACCTCAATAACAAGAATCCCCGATGATTCCAACCTTCTGCTTTTCCAGTTTTCGTGTCCTTTCTGGGCATTTCCCAACTGGTTTTTCTTCCTTGATCTATAGATGCACAATTTTCAACACCTGACCAGTCAAAACGAAGAGTATTCACGCTGATCCAAAACGCTGAATTATCAGTTTCAAGCATGCACGTGTATTACACAAAACGCGTGCCAGTCCATTCAAGTTTTACACTTTTTCTTCAGAGAACTTAAATGCTTAGATTATTTTTCTCAAAATGTTTCATATTCATCTGACTACGCTTTACCAAAAGCAATTACCTTAACAAAAACATCTGATTCAAATCTTCAATGTCCCAAAGAAATGCCAATGATTCCTTAACTCCTAATAAGTTTAATTTCCGATAATACGAACCTTTTTTTAATTCAATTACCCTCGAAGATTCGAATTTTCGGAACTCAGCTGTAGTCATAAGTCATACTGATAAACCAACTTCTTTTAGCCACATAGACTCTGGTATTATTCCTTTTAATGTTCAGGTCCATTTGTTGGACTTCATTTCCTGGACACTAAGGAACGAGGTTTTTCCCGGGGTAATGGTATGTCCTGGCTGGACCCGGATGGAGGAAGCCATTCCATTGCATTTCAGGCCTACTGTGACATGACGTTACACAATGGAGGATGGACCATGTGTTACACTACCGATGAATATGTCAGACCTAAGAGTGAGGTCACATACAACGCCCAGTTTCCTTATGGAAGCGACGGGCGGCTACAGAACCGATTCCAACAGCATCCCCGTAAGTTTGTTAGCTGACGTTAATGATCACTGACATTCCTTTTTTCGAGATTTTAATATAAACCACATTACTTCATTATCATGCAATTAAATATAGCAGTTTCGTGAAATATTTTCGGAAAAAAAGCGTAAAAGTGCACGTGATAACCCTGAAAGGTACTGTAGTTAGCTGACCTCAGGATTTCAGGAAATCTGAGAAAAACGTCATTCTAAGGACATAGCGGGTTTACTTGACTAACTGGTAATTTCATTCATTAAAATTCATTGACAACTGGATACCCAGATTACCTTTTAACATTGTTGCATGCACTTTTGCCTCTTTTTCCAGCTGCATGTGAATAACTCAATGTGAACGCCTCGCTTCTAGGACTTTACTGAATGGCGTCTATAACAACTACCTGTTTGTTCCATCATGTTATTTTTTTCTAAATTTTTTTGTCAAGTTCCCCTATCTCTTGTAAATTACATTTACACACACTGACTCCACCA